TATAAGTCACTCATCATGCCCGTGCTGGTATATGGCGCAGAAGCATGGACAATGACAACATCCGATGAGGCGGCTCTTGGGGTGTTTGAGAGAAAGATTTTGCGGAAGATTTACGGTCCTTTACGCGTTGGCGACGGCGAGTACCGCAGACGATGGAACAATGAGCTGCATGAGCTTTACAACGATATGGACATAGTGCAGCGAATTAAAATACAGCGGCTCCGCTGGCTTGGTCATGTCGTTCGAATGGACACCGACGCTTCAGCTCTGAAAGTATTCAACTCGGAACCCGCTGGTGGTAGCAGAGGAAGCGGGAGGCCTCCACTGCGATGGAAAGATCAGGTGGAGAAGGACTTGGCTTCACTTGGCGTTTCCAATTGGCGTCAGTTGGCACAGAGGAGAAACGACTGGCGTGCTTTGCTGAACTCGGCCAAAATCGCTTAGGCGGTTACAGCGCCAAAAAGAAGAAGTGTAATTTAAATTCAGTTGAGTTTGACACTTTTCAAGATTTTGCCAGCAAAAATTCTTCTGACTAAATCTCACTACTTCGGACTGAAGAGAGTCACTCTCACTGAGTGTTGCTCTCATATTTTTGCTGTAATTTTCGAGTTAAGGAACGCTTTTTGGACTAAATCTGACTACTTCGCGCTTTTTCTGACTATTTCTGGGAGATAAGGAACGCAACTATAATAAAACAAGTTTCCATAGTAGCGATAGTATCGATAGTGCAGCTAAACTATCGCAAACTATCGAGTGGCCCCACTATCGATAGTTTGAAAGCTCTAATTTATACATACAAAGTTTCGGTTGAAAACCGAAATAATGCGTATGAAAAGAAAACCGAAAAAATTCATACATGAACAGTTTCGGTTGAAATCCGCAATAATGCATGTAAGAAAAAACCGAAATGCGAATGCGTGCACAGTTTCGGCTTAAAACCGAAGTAAAGCATATGAGAAAAGTGAAGTAATGCATACATGCCCAGTTTCGGTTGACAACCGAAATAATGCATATGAGAAAAACCGAAATAGTTGTAAGCCTGTAAGTTGTAAAGCGAAATCAAAAAATGAACTTCTTTCTGCGTAGGCGGTCTTTGGCCGTGCTCTAACTAAGTAGACTTCTCCTTTCTGTGTTGCCGGAAAAGAGCGGCGCATAGTGTAAGATTTTGGCCAATATAACTGCTTTTAATTCTGTATTTCGATAACTATTGAAGATAAATTAATTAAATATTGCACAAGGTACGATATAAGATAGGCGAAGCTTTTTTACAAAAAAATGGGTCATTTAGAGACAAATCGGTCAAAAGAAGGCAAAATCTGAAATATTAATTAACTACAAAAGCTAAAATGCCAAAAATTTATATTTAGAATTTCCTTACAGCAAGGAATTTTAAACTGACAGAAATGGACTTAAAAATATATATGTTTTTTAATTATGGGCTAGGCAAATATCGATAAAATGTCAAGTTGGGTCAACCGAGTTCTCTTATAAGTTAAATATTTTCAAAGAACGTGAATCTACAAAAAGAGACAGCACGTTATAATTGTAGCCTGCCTTCTCTTTTCATCCAATCAAAAAACGTATTTTGGCAAAAGAGAAGGCGCTCTCCTGATGTTGACACTCGCTACAACTATAACGTGTTGTCTCTTCTTGTAGATTTACGTTCTTTGATATTTCTTGTCCTATTTACAAAAAAGGTCCCATTGGAAAGGAAATGAATCAAGCTTTCCCTATTCAAAAGCAAAAATACAAAAATTTGTTTCGGTCGAAATCAAATGCAAATGAATTACTCGAAGAAAATGAAATTCCTAGCACGCTTGAAAAAAGAATATTTCATCCAAACCAGCACTTTCCAGCAGCTAAAGTTGTGGTGTTTAAAGTTAAGGAGGAGTGGCAAATAAACTGAGATTCAAACTTTATCGAATAATTGCGGATAACGAGTTTGCCTGTCTAATGAAATAAATAAATTGCAAAACATTAATGTAAGTTAACCTCGTTTTACTTTAACATGAAATACTCAGCCCTCAGTTTTCTAAAATCCCAAAAATGTATATGCATAAAAAAGGACATAGATACAAACAAATAAGACCAAAATGGTATTTTAACAATTGTTGCATAAATCGCAAAATAGCAACAACTTAAACATTGAAATTCAGTTTCAAATATACAAGTATAAATATTATTGCGCTTGGCAATTTTCCAAATCAAATCCTCTCCCGCCATACACCTTGATATAAATTTTCTTTTTGTTACTATTTCGTCTTTACTAAGCATTTCCAAATGCATTTTTGTTGCTGTTTCGAAATTTAGCGATATAAAATAATTGAATAAATATCTTATAGAAAATGGAAATAGTACACTGTGCGGCGGAAGTAATTTTGCGTAGAATTTCTTTCTGAGTAGGCGGCCTTTGGCCGCGCTTAGGGATTATCACCCTTGTTAAGTAGAATTCTTCCTTGTATGTTGCGAGGGGCGGATGTATATTTAGGCAGAACTTCTTTCAGCGTAGGCGGCCTTCGGACGCGCTTAGGGATCATAACCCTTAAAGTGAAAGTACATAACGTGCATTGCGTCACCGTCACCGACACCGTCAATGACAGCGTCAACGGTGCTTATGCGTCAAGTTACACACTATACGTTCGACATTGCGTCTATAAAATCATAAAATAAAAATATCTAAGAATTTTGAAGTGAGGTGATTTGTGTGCCACAATGGAGAATGAATTCAATGTCTTTAGCGAATTTGTCGTTGCAACGAAAGAAGCGCTTCTGGGTGCGTGAACTGTTTTTGGAGAGGGACATAAGTGGACTTTTTGCCTCGTCGTTCAACCAGATAAAGAGCGATGTGGAAATGTTTTCGATTGCTACAAAGATGAGTCCTGACTGTTTCCATAGTTTATTGAAGCCAAAATTGGAGAAGAATTCCGCGAAGTTAGCCATTGCAAGAAATTGTAGCACGCAAACAGTATGTACTAATGAAATCAATTTAGATATTTGGCTCGCGGCTGCAGCAAGCAATATCTATCCTTAACATTCAAAATCTCCGTGTCAATAGTCCCACGAATTGGAAACTTGCCAGGCGATATGGGACGACTTAAGCCAACTATGTATGTATATATTTCGCCACCGAATGGAAGAAATTGCAGAGGACTTCAGAATCATGTGGGATCTACCTAATTGCGTTGGCACCGTTGGAAAGGATGTGGCATTAACATGCCCCCCGAATTCTGGTTCTATGTTTTACAATTATAAAGGTAAGATACCAAACCTTTCTAGAAAATCAGAATAATATACAGTTACTCCCAAAATTGAGCGTACGGCTCTTTTGTTAATATTCGCAATGTTTTACATGATACAATTTTTTTGTTGATTTTGTATTAAAATATGGTATATATTTTAGCAAATTCCATTTAAAGAAGGGTTCGGAAATATTCATATATGAACGTTCGCGAACATACATTTATGATTTTATACGCGAAGGTGAACATATCAAATATTCTGTATTAATTCTCCTTCGCGAACGAGAAACATAAAACCAGTCCAGATAGTTCGCGTTCGCGAATAATAGGTATAAAAACTTTCCGCTTTTGTTCGTACGCGTATGTATTGGTGGCCCAAACAGCGTGCGTTCATATATGTACCCAGCAAAAAATTTTGCACCGCTTCGGAATGCAATCGATGTTAGAATGCCTTGCCTTGGAATGGAGAAATATCGTTCGCTTCTTCATTCATGCTTAGAAGGCAGAGTGGAATATCTATCGGAGAATATCGTTCCCTTCTTCATTCATTGCTCAGGAGGCAGAGTGGAATATCTGCACATGTGTATATTTTATGTATACCAATATCGCCGTTCGTTGCTCTCAAACACAATTTGTTGTTTTAAAATAACGCTACTTTGATAGAAACTTCGACTGTAATTGTTGCCAACTTATATTCTATGCTAGGAAATATTCAGTGTATTCGTCTAAATATGAAATGCCCCTAAACCATGCTAATTTACCCACTCGTTAGCTCCCTGCCAAAATTTGTATGAAGTTGTTAACACAAATTTAAGCGACGAATCCAGTGCACAAAAAATGAGGCAAACTTCAGCGAAGGAAAAGTCGAAATACATAGAAATGTTAAAAATAAGCCTATCATCAGATTTTAAAAATACTTAACATACGCAAAACAATGAGAAATTTTTAAAAAATAATAATTTTTTAAGACTTTTTCTAAATGAAATTTTTGTTATTTGAAAATTTTCAGTTTCATACATATGTACATACATAAATTTTTTCACTAATTATCATCGTAAGATGTTCATATAAAAATTATATAAAATATCTTAACCAACTAAAATTTATATTACGTATAATTTGCTTAAAAATGTTTGCATTATACATGGATATGTCGACAAATGTCATAATCCTCCACTTTAAAATTTTCATCGTGCTATTCAATAAGTTGGCCACCCTCATCAACATTGCTCGGTGCGTAAGAACTATGCGCAGCGTCATTAGTATTTGCGAATTCGGTGCAGTTACATCGCGAGTCTTGTGCAAATAACAAAAAGGTAAAAATGATTAGCAAGCGTCATCTTAAACGTTTAGTAAAAAAACAAAAAAGTGAAATTAATAAAAAAATTGATGAAAATCGTAGGAAAAATATGTGCTGTGTACTAATGAGAAATAAAAAAGGGTGAAAATGCGAGAAGAATAGCTGAATCTGGTAGTGAGAGTGTAAATGGTGAGAATAGAATTGTAGAATTGGAGCCGAAGACGCTTCAAGCCAAACCTTCGTTTCGTTGTTGCGCGAGCTTATTAAATATTTTAAAAAGCGAAAACCTGAATGTGCCTCTAAGTGTTGGGTCTTTGTTAGATCACCCCGAAAAATGTGTAGTGCGCACCGTTTCCCCAGGCCAATATGTCCATATTGGCGTAAAAATACAATTGGAAAAATTAGCAAATGAAATTCTGCAGGAAAATCCAAGTGTTTTTAATTGGATGCTACGTTGGTAAAAAGAAGCCATATAATATTGAAGTTTACCTTCACGATTTTGTAGAGGAAATCAAGGGACTATCGGTTGATGGTATTTCACTCAACAATGTAAGCTATAAAGTTGTAATTCGAGGGAATTTCTGCATCCAAAAGACTTTTACGCAACACCTGTTCCTTCCTGGGACCTTGGAATCAGTGTCGTAAGTACTGCAAGCTGTGGCCCAGAAGATATATATAATATACAAGATATTCACTGCAAATTAGTAGGTCTACCGTTTAAAGAAAATATTATTTTGTTACCATTAGTGCACAGCTACATATAATTCTTATAAACATATTGCAAATTTCCTGCAAGAGTTTTTGATTATGACACTCTTGCAACAAATGTGCGATATATATAATACATATATATTATTAAAAATTAATGAATATAACTTTAAATAAATTGAGATTGACTGATTGATATTACAAGCAAATGCATAATATGGCTGAAATTAAAAAATTTAAGAAAGAATTTGCTGAGTTACAAGGTAAGAACGTTTTTGATATTTAAATTCTTATCATATCTACATATCAATACCCAATATCTGCAATTCTCACAAAAACTACTTTGTGATGTTAGAAGACATTTGGTACTTACCTGTCATCACTGGTGTTAATTCTGACTTTGCAATTTAATTTGTTAGAAGTGCAGATAGAGGGTATTGAATATAAGCCCTCGATATGTATGTGTGTACATATACATATTTTACAATAATTTCAGAATCACTATTGGAACAAACCAGGCAAATACAGTCATTGAAGATACTAGTCATGGAGAAAAACTTTATGTTGGAAAACTTAAACTCGGAAATAGCTGCAATGAAAGGTATCTATCATAATAAACGAAATGTAAGAACATATCCACTCACTACAGCTTAAGTCGATAGTTTGACTTTAATGTAATGTTCCACTTCCACACACACACACCCCACACAAATAACAGAAATAAGTTATGTCTTTAACTCAATATGCTGTTTATTTTATAGATTCCAATAAAAACGACATGGAGGTACTGAAAAACGTCTTATCTGAGCAAGTCGTACTATTAAAAAAGGTGGCGCAAGACTTATTTCCAAGCGATAAGTATTCTGCAATTTTCCCTATAACAATCCAACGGGATTTGGATGACGTAGAATATTCAATCACCGCAGAAAGTCACGATCAAATGGTATAATATTTAATTTAAATAATTTTACATTAATTTTAGTCCTGTCTTTATTTAGATTTCTAGCGTATTTAATTTAATTAAATCTGGGGGACTAAAATCCAACATACGCTCAATTTTTGCTGAGAAAATTGTAATGAATTACAATTTTGAGGGAAGGCAGCGGAAAAAATCTTTAAAAGCGTATCCAAAGCTGATGGATATTTTATTTCGTAAGTACCTTCTTTATATATATTCTATATAATGCATACGTGCGCTCGCTCCATTATATCTGCGTACACCCTTATTTTTTTAAACACAATGTTTTGCAAGCTATATACAAAATTAAGGAAAAATTAATGAATTTTCATCGAAATTTTAAACTTTTTACTCAGCTTTTTTG